TTCCTCGTCTCTCCTCGCCTTTCCCTTACTCCACATGGTCGTTTTCCCTGATGTCTCCATAGCTTTGGTTAAGTTTTACATTTTAAGCTGGATTTTTGGATTCCTGCCTCTGTCACCTGTGTTCATTTATTAAAACTGCAAAAATTCTCCTCTGCCTCCATGCCTCTGCATTTGGGTCCTCAAACCTCAACTCAACCTGACACAGTTATTAAAGTAACAAAATTACTCTTTTCTTTTCTCTGACATTTGTCTGTATGAACATTACTGATTTTACAAGAAAATGATTCATTTTCTTGACTTTTTCATGCTCTATCTAATCACCAGACACCAAAAAAAATCAATCAAAGTCAATTTTCTAATTTACCCTGTCAGCAATGACCTTCCCTCCCCTTTCCTGGTTTTACTGATTGCAACAGTATATCCCTTTATAATTAGTTTCTAAACTCATTGCTTTCTACCAATGAAAAGTGGTGCATGTTCACATTTTGCAATTGTTAACTCTGTATTTGACTGCATGGTAAGCTTCTCTGTGCGGGAACACTGATTATTGAAACTAGTGAAATTAAGTAAGCGAGTCGTCCTCTTGGAGGAACCCTGTAATTGTGGCTTGATATGTAGTGCCTAAGTTAAGTCAGAATTAGGTATTAAAGTCTAGCTTCTCTGAGCGAGTTTAATGAAGCACTCCCTGGTTTCAAGCTGGTAGGGACCAACAAATAAGAGGGTAAAACTCACCACTCTAAAATGATGACTGTACTGCACAGCATTATAATTCCCACGATCTTCACTGTTGTGTAGACACTGATTCCTTAAATTTGACAAAAACAAATGTTTTTAATGACAAAGTGACATATCAGAATAAAAAAAAACCATATATAAAATGCACTTTACATCAAACAGATCTAGTGATGTGTTTTTAAAGAAACTTTACAAGACCTAAAAAGCAACAACACATTATCTCTGAATCCTAGACCAAATGTTTACCTGTGCTAAACTGCTGTGCAGATCTTTGGGTAATGGTTCACCAGCTGGCATGTTTTTAATTCATTTTAATTTTTAGAATAATAATGGTATCCCCTGAGACATTAACTTAGCTACCTGAAGGATTATAGGGTATTAGGGATGCTTTCAATGGATATCCAGTTCTTGCTCTACTAGAAGCATGGGCAATGCACAGTCATCAAATTGGGCATGCTTTTATCCACATGCCAGTTTGTGGGTCTCTAAAACATAACAAGTAGAGCCTCTATTTTACAGACTGAGTCAGGGTTCTGTTGTTAATGTGGAAAGACCAGCAACAGAGCTGGTCTCCTTGGATCCACCAGATCCACCAGAGACACTCACAGTTCAGCAAGTAGCACTACCTGTTCCAGGGAATATGGCCTGCTGTCTGTGGTACTTCTGTATGTCCTGGACCCAGTATCGAAACCTGCTTTCCTGCATCAGGGGAAGGATGCCTCTCCAGGACATCAACAGGGGGCTCTCTTTCCATTGCAGAGCCTTATTTTTCTGTCTTCATTCAGGAAATCCATTAACACCCAATAGAAATAAAGCCTAATTGTGCTGTCTAAATCATTTAGAAAAAACCCTACTTCCACTTTTCTCCTTCCCTCTACATCACATCCAGTCCAGCCACAAATTGCTTAATGCTATCCAGATTGACAGAAGTTCATATATTTGATTTCAAGTTAAATTCCAATTTACTCAATTGGGGTATTTACCACAGAGTTTCAATCTCGCAATTTGCACTATTTGCATTGCTTCAAAAAACATCACTTGTAGCAATAACCACTAATTTTCCTCTGATCGTGCTTTTACCTAGAGATAACATCACTTTTTTTTCCAGCTTCTGTATTGTCATTACATTGTCACAAGTACAGAGCATCTAAATTAACTCATGCAATTAATCCATCCGCTTGTGGAGCAGTGGGCTGCCATTGTGCGGCACCCAGGGAGCAGTGTGTGGTTAAGGGTCGTTGCTCAGGGACCCTGAGTGGCAGTCTGTGAGAGTGGGTATCACGGTCTTGGTTCTGTTTAAGTTTCCTTTTGAGTTTTCAATTTAACTTTGATCCCTCTTTTTCTTCGTTTTCTAGTTTAATTGGCTTTAATTCCTATTTTGTGGTGTTTTCTGGATGTATTTGAGTTATTGGGTATTTCTTGATTGCCCTCTATTGTCTTCTACTGTTGGTCTCCTTTTCCCTAGCTCCTTTCTAGAAGCCTCTGTTCCCACCTGCTCCCAATCAGCTCATTAGTCCTGTCTTTGTTCGTTCCCCCGTATATACTCTCCCTGTGCAGTTCCTCAGTGCTGGTTCCCCGCCTTTTCCTGCTTCCTCATGTTTGTTTTCCCTGATGTCTCCAAGGTTCTGTTTTTCTTCTGTATTTTTATGTTGGAATTTTTAATACTTGTCTCGGTTGCCTGTGAGTACTTAATTAAATCTGCAAAACTAATTTCTGCCATTTCACCTCTGCATTTAGGTCCTAAAAACCTCTACCCAACCCTGACAGTGGGGCTCAAGCTCAGAACCTCAGGATTCCGAGCTAGCTATATGCCCTAATCACTCCTCTTGTTTGTTTCACATCATTTTTGTTTGTTACAAACATAGCACAAGGGCTATTTCTTTGATTTTTGAAGATGTGTGTGTCACTTAAGGTTCTGTAAATCTGAGGTTATGGTTCTTTACAGCAATCTGCCACTAGTTGTATGCCAGTCTCTGCTTTAGAAAAATTAGCTGAGGAAACTTGGTATACCTTTCAGGTAGGACTAACAAAGCCAAAAAGTAAAGCTTGTGAATTATTGGTCTATCTGCATCTCAGTCCTCACCCAAAGTTATGAGAGTTGATTTGTGACCAAAAGCAAAAGATGCAACCCATCAAAGAATTTTCCTTTGAAGCTAGTATGGAATCAGATTCAGAGAATGCATAAGGAGGTCCATCATCTGAAGGGAGCTGAACAATAGCTTCTGATCAGCACGGTCATTTAGAGAGGACTTTTTTAGGCATCTTCTGCCAGGAGATCTTGGAATCAAGACCCATAATGCCTTGGATTGATTATAAAAAATAAGCTAGATAGGGATGCTTGGCAAAGCCCGTTATAAGTTGTGCTAGTGGATATAATTTCCTCCTAAACCCAGTTTTAGATTAGCAGAAAATAAAAGACGAACAGATGGAAGAAGGAAATCTTTTGTAAGTTTATATATATATATTGAATTGTTATCTCTAATGCAGTCTAGTTTGGCTTTAGATGCTGTATTTGAAGTGGAGTACTTGTGTTGCATGTGATGAAACCAAAACAGCAGAAGATTGCCCTAAGAAATCAGTGCAACATGTTGCTCACTACTGTCTCTTTAATGCACCATGTTTAGTCTCCATGAAACCAATCTGATGCTTGATGGAGATTTTCTTTACTTCTCTGAATTCTACTGAAGGGATAAACTTAGAAATGTAAATCAACCACAGGATATACACTATATTGCCAAAAGTATTTGCTCACCCATCCAAATTATTGGAATCAGGTGTTCCAATCACTTCCATGGCCACAGGTGTATAAATTCAAGCACCTAGGCATGCAGACTGTTTTTACAAACATTTGTGAAAGAATGGGTCGCTCTCAGGAGCTCAGTGAATTCCAGCGTGGAACTGTGATAGGATGCCACCTGTGCAACAAATCCAGTCGTGAAATTTCCTCGCTCCTAAATATTCCACAGTCAACTGTCAGCTGTATTATAAGAAAATGGAAGTGTTTGGGAACGACAGCAACTCAGCCACGAAGTGGTAGGCCACGTAAACTGACGGAGCGGGGTCAGCGGATGCTGACGCGCATAGTGCGAAGAGGTCGCCAACTTTCTGCAGAGTCAATCACTACAGACCTCCAAACTTCATGTGGCCTTCAGATTAGCTCAAGAACAGTGCGCAGAGAGCTTCATGGAATGGGTTTCCATGGTCGAGCAGCTGCATCCAAGCCATACATCACCAAGTGCAATGCAAAGCGTCGGATGCGGTGGTGTAAAGCACGCCGCCACTGGACTCTAGAGCAGTGGAGACGCGTTCTCTGGAGTGACGAATCGCGCTTCTCCATCTGGCAATCTGATGGACGGGTCTGGGTTTGGCGGTTGCCAGGAGAACGGTACTTGTCTGACTGCATTGTGCCAAGTGTAAAGTTTGGTGGAGGGGGGATTATGGTGTGGGGTTGTTTTTCAGGAGCTGGGCTTGGCCCCTTAGTTCCAGTGAAAGGAACTCTGAATGCTTCAGCATACCAAGACATTTTGGACAATTCCATGCTCCCAACTTTGTGGGAACAGTTTGGAGCTGGCCCCTTCCTCTTCCAACATGACTGTGCACCAGTGCACAAAGCAAGGTCCATAAAGACATGGATGACAGAGTCTGGTGTGGATGAACTTGACTGGCCTGCACAGAGTCCTGACCTCAACCCGATAGAACACCTTTGGGATGAATTAGAGCGGAGACTGAGAGCCAGGCCTTCTCGTCCAACATCAGTGTGCGACCTCACAAATGCGCTTCTGGAAGAATGGTCAAAAATTCCCATAAACACACTCCTAAACCTTGTGGACAGCCTTCCCAGAAGAGTTGAAGCTGTTCTAGCTGCAAAGGGTGGACCGACGTCATATTGAACCCTATGGATTAGGAACGGGATGTCACTTAAGCTCATATGTGAGTCAAGGCAGGTGAGCAAATACTTTTGGCAATATAGTGTATGTTTCATAGAAGACACAAGGCTTTGTTACTTGGTTAGCTATGGCTGTTGATACATACTTCCTACTCACTTAATACTCGTCTTTTTTATTTCTTTATATTTTGATAAAACACTTAACAACAAACACAAAGAGACATACAAGAAAAACTGATTCAGAAAATCAGATAAAGAGGTTTTTTTTACCTTGCTTGTTCAAATGACTCCACGATGACATCTGATTACCAAATATATTCACAGCCACACAGTAATAGCTTTCGATATCTGTCATGTTGGTCATCCGGAGTCTGTAAACCTGCCCCACAGATACATTAATGGGTCCATTTTTGCCATTTCTTAACCAAGTGAAGCTGGCAGGAGGCTTGGCTCTGCTGGAGCAGCTCAGCTCCACCCTGCTACCTGCTGACACCAAACCTGATGGACTGATGGATGCTGAGGTGTCTTTAGGAGCATCTGAGGAAAATGGGACACACATTAACTTTATTGATCAGAAACAGCTGAACCATGACGTGCTGACAGGATCACTAACATGAAACACTGAGAGTCACTTCTGTCTCTGCTGTCTTGCTTCCTCTATTCACAGGATATCTGGCAGAACAGCTGATGTTGTATCCATCATGTGTGTCTGACAGAGTGATGGTCTCCTGGATTTTAGTTGTAAAAGTTCCATCTGTGTTTTTTTCTGTTTGTCTCTCAGAATCTTGTTGGAGATTCCAGGTGAGTTCAGGAGGTGAGTGTGGACAGGGAGTCAAAGCTGAGCAGCTTATAGTGACAGGCTGATGCTCCTTCAGATCACCAACAGGGATATTAATGCTGGGACTCCAAGGAGAATCTGAGGTTTTAAATGGAGCACACAAAGGATAAGGTATTAAAGTGTCTTGCAAACACACACAGACCGTCTGAAAATCTTTTAATATTTGGGAAATAGAGGTAAAATGAAGCATATTTTTAAATTTGTATATATTCCAAATCTGTAGACTGGGATTAGATTGGGTTTAGATCCTCATAGGTGCTGCAGCGTTCAAAAGTGCAGCTTGAAGTTAAATAAGGAAATGACAAGTTGGCTACCTGCAACACTGTTGATGTGATTATAATATTTAAAGGACGACGCATGTCCAACAATATTAAACAACACATAACGCGGTGCATCAGGGTTGTGAGGTAGGTTCCCAGAGGGAATTTGTTCCTCCTCTTATTCTGTATTGCAGTTTCTGCAGGGTGAGCTTAGCCTTTTTTATACTTTCTTCCTCTTACTTTACATCTTAACAGATACGTGCAATTTAAAGTATTCCATATCTTCTCTTTGACCTATCGCTGTGTTCCTTGGTCTTTATAGTGCTATGGATCACTTACGTTCTATAACAAACCTTACAAAAACAGGTTTTTATGTAAGTGTTGCAATAGCATGTATTTCAAATATAAGGATAAAAAGAACTGGATATAAATGCACTTCACATCTTACATAATATCAAATACTTTGCAGGGATTTCCTTTTATTTCACATTTATGCACTATTTTGTGTTAGTATGTGAACATAAATCCGAATTATTAACACTGAAGTCCCTGATTGTACAGTGACACAGTGATGAGGGATTTTAAAAGCATATTCATGTAAATAAAACTGCTATTTAATCAATTAAAAAAGCTGATAACTGATAATTAAAAAGTCTATACTAATTTATTTCTTCTAAAACTAATTTAGACTGCATTTTTTCAACAGAGGCAGGAAATGTATTTATTGAGGAATTATATTCAAAAGTGATTTTCTCTTTAATCAACTTTTTTAAATAGATGGGAATTAATGCTGACTGGGCATAAATTGGGAAGTAAAACTGTTTGATGGTGCTTGTCTTACCTTCAACTGTTATATAAAGATGATCTTTACAACCTGTCGCCTTGAATGGCCCATTTTCAATTCTGAAGAAGTATTTGTCTGCATGTTTTTTCCTTACATCAGGAAACAGAGTGGTGCAGTTTTCTTCATGCAGGTTTCCAGTTATTTTCAGGGGGTAGGTGTTAGCTGAGTTACTGCTATTAAAAATAATACGGTTTGGATTGACAGCAAAATCTAAGTCATGTCTCATCCAAACGCCAGAGATGGGTTTGCTGTGGTCAAGCTGTGCATCTTTTAAAGAAAATTTACATGGTATTTGCAAACAAGATCCACTGAGAGCTTCATTCTTCTTTGGTGCAGTTATCTGGATGCCTGGCTGTCTTAAACCACAATGACGACTCCACTGATTAAAATCGAAAGCACCTGCAAATATAGAGTAATAAAAACCATTTTGTGGATTGAATTTCTTCTAAAGTTAAAGGAAATTAATAAACAGCTCACCTGAAGGTACAAAGACAACCAATAACACAGTGATGGTCAGCACCTTCTCACACAGAGCTGCCATTGGATTCAGACAGTCCAACTGCATGAAAACAGTTGCTGGGAGTTTTTGGTGTTGTTAAACCTGAGTTGAAAGAAGACATTCATAAAAGGTTTCAGTTAATGGGCCATATATAGAAAGAGTAGCTTTTTTCAACCTTCTTAAAAGCAAAATTGTAATATATATAATTAATACTTTGTTTTAGCAGAACTTAGAAAATAAATACAAATGAGATGAAGAATTGTTTTTGTAAGTTAAATGTAAAGATCGATGTTGTTCACTTACCATATAATCTGACGCTAATGAAGTTTTTTACCAAATAATTTGCTGATTTTAGAGGATTAGAAGCAGTTCAAGCAGCTTTGGCTGTGAGGAAGGAAATGTAATGAGAAACTCTCTTGTTAGAGAAGTTCTCATGTTAAATGTTTTGTGAAAGAGGAAGCAATTTCAGGGATAGCATTATATATTTCATAGTTGTTATCACTTAGCTAAGGATGGTCTAAGTATGTCTTTTTGGTGCTGTACTAGAAGACAGAAAATTAATAAATTAAAAATGTAGAAAGTATTTTTGGTACATTTCTCAGTGTTGATTTATGTGGTTATTTCTTACTTCTGTGAAAAAGCCTTCATGCAAATAATACAAGACTCCGTGTGACGGTGATGAAGAAATGTCTTGCGTTATAGCAGAGCAGTGATGTAACATGGGATTCCACAGAACCGGCAAACAAAATTCCCCTTTTAACTTCTCAGCTCTGCTCAATATTTGTGAGTATTTTAAATCAGTATTGCTGCTTCTCTGTGCAAAATAGATCTATTTTTCCTATGATGTAGACTTCTTTATGGTTTCCGTACTTTCAAATTGAGAATATTTTAAAAATGTCTTGATTCATGTGTTCTAAATAACTGAGGGAATCATCTCCAAAAAATAGCTGTTTCCTTAAATTATGAGCAAAATGTTATTTATTAACCATGATTTTGAAAATAATTTTTCAAGAAATTTGTGTTAGGCATTTTCAGTATCCAATCATAAGCATTTGTTTTGCTTCGTATAGCAGTCAAATACAGGAGAAAACAATGCGATGTTGCAAGATTTCTTACATAAGCAGTGTTAACATTCTAAGAAAATACTACTTCCTCAATAATAACTCAGATATTCTGTTAAAAGTATGTCATTATTTCTAAAGCCTAAATAACTGTTACAGAAACATACAAACACAGAGCTGTTTAATATATGCAGTCCACATTACTTTAGTGAGTAATGTTATATAGATCATCTGATCCTCTGCTTTTCTGTTTAAATGACTTAATCCCAATAACATCAACCTGCAAAAATTAGAGCTACACTCTTGTTAAAGGATATTTCATGTTTAGGTAGCCAGCCACTGACATCTCTCATATTCATTTACAGTGAAACATATGTTAGTGACTGTCAAGTGCTTTTCAATAGAGATATCAATTCAATGCAGTTTATTTATATAGCGCCACTTCACAACACGTAATCTCAAGGCACTTTACAGTTCAACCAGATCATACAGTCAAATTGATTCAAAGTTTTCTATCTAAGGAAAACCAGTTGATTGCATCGACTCCTTGACTCGAATGTAATCCCTCACACTAAGCATGCTTGTAGCAACAGTGGAGAAGAAAAACTCCCTTTTAACAGGAAGAGACCTCCAGCAGAACCAGGCTTAGTGTGAGCGGCCATCTTCCAAGGCTAACTGGGATTCAAGGAGAAGCAAGCATACAAAAAGCAGCTGTAAAAGGCGGCTCCTTCCAGGAAACACACAGCCACGCAGACGAGCTCCGAGCCAACTCCCATGTCACAGGATGAAGAGAGCACATCCAGCCAGTCACAGTCAGAAAAACAGGACTACACTGGAAAACAGGCAGATCTCCAACATCTATAAACTCCATAGATAGCCCGTTGCTGTAATATTCGGTGATATGTGTATTATAGATACATGGGATTTCCAAACAAGATCCACTCGGAATTTCAATGGACTTTTGCATAATGATGGAATGGAAAATAGGATCCACAAACTCTTATTCAGCTAAAGAATGTCACATGTGGAGATTTTAAACATAAATATCTTTGGAAACAAACACTAATTGTCCCGGTCTTGGTTCTGTTAGGTTTTCTTTTGAGTATTCAGTTTTACTTTGCTCCATGTTTTCTAGTTTTATTGGTTTAATTCCTATTTTGTTGTATTTTCTGGATATATTTAAATTCTTAGGTTTTTATTTGTTGCCCTCTGTTGCACTCTTGTGTTGGTCTCCTTTTTCCCTAGCTCCTCCCAAGACTGCTCACTTCACAGTTGTTCCCAATCTGCTCGTTAGTACTCTCTTTGTTCAGTTATCCATAAATACTCTCCTTGTGCAGTTCCTCAGTGCTGGTTCCTTGTTGTACCTCGTCTTTCCTTGTCTTACCCTGGCTCCTCGTGATTGTTTTCCCCTGATGTCTCCATGGTTCTGGTTTGTGTTACATTTTAAGTTGGATTTTGGATTCCTGCCTCTGTTAGCTGTTATCACAAATTAAAACTGCAAGAAGTCACCTCTCCCTCTTTGCCTCTGCATTTGGGTCCTCAAACCTCAACCAAACCCTGACACTAATACCAAGCTGGCCAGTGACTTGTTTAACTTTATGGAGAATAGACCACACAACACTGACCTCTTCCAGTTGTAGCTGCACATTACCAGTCAGCTGGCTAAAAGAAAGCTACAATAAAACTCTCTATACGGGAGCTAACATCCCTTTTGGAAATGCTCATTTAAGCTACTGTTGGTGTGAATACAGGTAGCAGTCACCTGACAAGATAGCCTTACTAACAAACTAATATCAGCTTGATGTACTCGTGTAACTCAATAAAAAGAGCAGAACAGGAAAAAAGTATTATATTCTGTCCAATGAGCATAAGCAAACAATCCCTACATTTAGTATGTTTCAAAAGCTATGGTCTCAGTTACATCTATGTATCAGATTTAAAATATATAGCAATACAATTATGAGTAATGTTATTATTACTTCAATAACTGATATTCAGTGGAAAGAACATTTACTTTTTTGAACAAAGGTATTTGGATCATAACTGTCACGATTTAACTAAAGATCTGACCCAAATGCAGAAGACCAAACAGAGAGACCAGGGACAGGTTTAACAGGTTTTATTTAGAGCAAGAAGAGAGGAGTACAGTGCTGCTCTGAACACTGTCGAACCGGGACTGAAAAGAGAAGGGGAAGTTTCTGCGGTTAGTTCGGGCTCAGTGGGAAATTTGTGTTTTCTTGATTGAAGAAGGGAATTAAGGTTGCAGACTCACGTTTCCATAAAAAGGTGTCTCTTATAGAATCCAGTCGCTGTAGGTTGTTCCAGTGAATGACTTTTTCGTTAGAGGGCGGACAGGGTTTACCCAGATTGCGGTTGTTCCTTGGTGAACGGAGAAGCTGACTGCCACTTAGTTTTCCTGCGGGTACTTGAATGGGTTATTGTGGAGATTAATCCCCTGCTCAGAGAGAAGCCCAAAACAATCCTTGGGGGAAAAGTTAAACCAAACCACAAACTTGAATCCTCAGCTCAGTTTGGTGCTCAGAGAATCCTTCCAGGAGGAAGAAGGTCCAAAACATCCAGTTTGCAGGATGACTTCCTGCTGAGAGGCAAAGACTAAAACAGCAAGGTTAAAACTCAGTTTGACTCAGCTAAACTCAGCTTGGGTAGAGTACCCAAAACTGGCAAAACAAAAACTCAGGTTAGACTCTGATAAACTAAGCATGGCCAGAGTACCCCAAACTGGCAAACACTCTGGCGTCGAGGAAGTGGCAGTCAGCAGCTTAAGAGTCCTCAGGTAATGAGGCAACGAGCTGCAGGTGTGCAGGGAGGACCGATGAGGACGGGGCACCACCTGGTGTAGGAGAAAAGGAAAGACAAAAACAGACCACACAAACTGGATTCCTGACAATAACATATATCCTACTTTTGTTTGTTTCAGTATGCTAGCTTATTTATAGCAGGCAATGCCTACCAGAAATGATAAGTGTAAAGCCAAGAAAAGTAAAGGAAGAAAAAAACAAGCAGTTCACCAGGAAAAAAGAGGACACTCAGAGAGCTGCCTCCTGACTCTGATAGCCCACCATCTTACTCTAGAAACAAGTTCAAGTAAAAATAAATGTATTCATGTTTGTAATAAAGCTTTTAGCAGTATTGAGTTGTGTTTTTGTCGCAACTTTATATCTATAACTTTTAATCTCTTTATATTTATATATTTACATTTAGATTTTAATAAACCTAGATGATGAAATATGTGACATATCTTTATCGCCAAGCCATATTTTACGTCAGTAGAAAAAATAAACCTCTTGTTTAAGATGTTCGAATAGCTAACCAAATAGCATGTGATGGAACAGAGTGATAGAAGATAAACATCCACTCTCCATCACAAGAAAATAGGATGAAAAAAAGAACAGCTCAATGCAAAGAAGTCTAAACCGAGGGCGCTTACCGTATGAAAAAAGGAAGTAACTATTTGAACTTTTATATATTTCCATAATTAACTACAACTAACACATATCTCACAACTGCATTTTACAGTGCCTTGCAAATATTTATTCTTAATGTTCTGAGCTGATAGTTGATTACTCTGAGGGAAAAAATCCTTTGCAAGACTTTTTAGTCTTAAAGGGATAGTTCGGTATTTTTGACATGAATCTGTATGGCATCCCCATCACCAGCGGCATGCAATCACACTGACTTACCCCTGGCAGCGTCCTGTGAGCAGAGTTATCGTCCAGTTTTGGTCAAGCCGAAAGTAGTCCGACAGGTTTTTAGAGCCAGCGAAATAAAACGTTTCTCTTCCCAAAACATTATGTGTTCAAAAGAGCGATATTTTTGCATCCCAAAAACATTGTAGTGGAAAAAGTCCCACGTCGTTATCAATTGGTCCTATTTTCTCTCTGTTCGTATCAGTGCGCGCCGTCATTCAGACAGCGAGCCCAACAACAGCCATGTCTCTCAAATATCACTCTTTTGAACACATAATGTTTTGGGAAGAGAAACGTTTTATTTCGCTGGGTCTAGCAAACCTGCCGGACTACTTTCGGCTTGACCAAAACTGGACGATAACTCTGCTCACAGGACGCTGCCAGGGGTAAGTCAGTGTGATTGCATGCCGCTGGTGATGGGGATGCCATACAGATTCATGTCAAAAATACCGAACTATCGCTTTAAGTTTGCCTTCTTTAAGACAACTCTGAGAATATTTTTGACTTTTTGACATTGTAGGAGTAAATAATGGCGCAGAATCTGAAGGCAGCTCAAAAAAGCTTGTGTGGAACCCTCATATTATCCTAGTAGAGAAATTAGACTTAGACAGGCTTTATTGTCATTTTGTAA